GTGTATATGCAAAAAAAAAAATTGTCTTCCTCTTTTTTTTTATGCAAATTTATAGAGGTTTCATATTTGCATATGATGCATTAGCGCGCCATCTGTTATGAGAAATTGAAACTATTTTAGACGCATATGATTCTTTTCAAAAAATAAATAAAAAACATTTATCTATATACTTGTGCCCTCCCATTAAATTTTCATTGCAGTAAGGCCAATAGATATATATATATATATTTTAAAAAGAATACCAATCAATAGTTTCAATTTCTCACTGGTTCAAATCACATAAATAGGTACCGCTCAGCAAGAGCAACCTAGTTCATGATAATTGAAACAATGACTAATATGTGAAGGTTATTCACATATTAAACAAATTTTAACGCGGGATTCAATCCCGGTTCATGACTGTCGGGAATCGAGCGTGTTACCCTCTCAACCACCGACTTATATCAGGAATCGAGCGTGTTACCCTCTCAACCACCGACTTATATCGGGAATCGAGCGTGTTACCCTCTCAACCACCGACTTATATCGGGAATCGAGCGTGTTACCCTCTCAACCACCTACTTATATCGGGAATCGAGCGTGTTACCCTCTCAACCACCGACTTATATCGGGAATCGAGCGTGTTACCCTCTCAACCACCGACTTTTATCGGGAATCGAGCGTGTTACCCTCTCAACCACCGACTTATATCGGGAATCGAGCGTGTTACCCTCTCAACCACCGACTTATATCGGGAATCGAGCGTGTTACCCTCTCATCCACCGACTTATATCGGGAATCGAGCGTGTTACCCTCTCAACCACCGACTTATATCGGGAATCGAGCGTGTTACTCTCTCATCCACCGACTTATATCGGGAATCGAGCGTGTTACCCTCTCAACCACCGACTTATATCAGGAATCGAGCGTGTTACCCTCTCATCCACCGACTTATATCGGGAATCGAGCGTGTTACCCTCTCATCCACCGACTTATATCAGGAATCGAGCGTGTTACCCTCTCAACCACCGACTTATATCAGGAATCGAGCGTGTTACCCTCTCAACCACCGACTTATATCGGGAATCGAGCGTGTTACCCTCTCAACCACCGACTTATATCGGGAATCGAGCGTGTTACCCTCTCATCCACATTCAATTTCTCATATTTGCATATGTACGTCATTAGAAATATTTTAACTTCTTCATTGGTACGTCTACAACTACATATATTTGAAACAATCTATTCTTCTCAGTAGTATCCTCAGCGTATTTCATTCTATATTTAAATTATAGATTCATATATATATATATATATATATATATATATATATATATATATATATATATTCTAAAATTTTGAGGATATTCACATATAAAATTGCATAAACTGGTGTTAAACTTTTGGCAGTTACTTTTGCAAGAATTGGGAGCTATTAAAACACAATTTTTCTAAAGAAAAAAAAAGTGCCCAATGCGGGATTCGTTCAACTATTTTTTCTTTAATAGAGATGACAAAATAGAGAAAGAAATTACCTGACTTGTGGCGTAAAGAACAAATAAAATATTTGATTACGTATTTACATATTTACGAAAAGTTTTATGCCGGCCAAAAGAAAACAATGGATTTATATGGCCGCGACGTCTGGCGGTCGACTTCACAGTATTTGTTACAAAACATATAATTATGAATAAGATGTTTATATAACATATATAAACTTAAGAAAAAGGCATCTCTCCTTATCGTGCAACTGAATGTCGCTGATGGCTTGCGCCATCTATCGGAATAAATATCAACTATTCTCTTGATTTTTAATTATTCCACACGCAATTCTGGCCTTAACTACCCGTTTCAGGATGCCTCAATGCCCAATTCTTTTGGTCGTTGAGGTACAGCTTGCACCACGCTGATAAGGGCCGACAGCCCGATACGCGTCCGTGGTTAGCTTTTCTTGATTAATCAAGAATGGGTATTTGGCCAATTCTGGAATAATTAAAAATCAACGAGAATAGTTGATATTTATTCCGATAGATGGCGCAAGCCATCAGCAACTTTCAGTTGCACGATAAAGAGATGCCTTTTTCTTAATTTATGCACCTTATCCCAGTACAATATTACATTTGTACTATTTTTCATATATAAACTTATGAAGAAAAAAATGGAGAATATATTTATAACCAATGAATATGTAGTAAAGTAGAACTACCACCTCTCTGTAAAGGAAAACATCTAGTTGCATAGCCAAAATGGCCTTTAGGGAGAGGTGTCTTCTTACCGGAGAGTATCTAAGTTGTAAAAATGGACATTTTGGTGAGATGAAAACAGTCCTTTATATAGAAGTGTTATCTCATGAAGGTTCAAATTCAATATTCATTATTTCAAACCTTTTATATGTGTATACATTTTGAGTAGTTAAATTAAATGTTTATAAAAAACCTGTATATTTTTACAGTGTTCTAATGCTGAGGGAACTTTGTCAATATATTCTAAGTATCTTATGAAAATAAAGGTCACCTCTCCCATCAAAATAGACGCTAAAACTAAGCGTCATTTTTTGACTGTCGCCGTAAACTAGCGGACTCAGGTCGTTGACAAAGCCACAACACCAGCTTTGGTCAACTGAGAAGCGTCCACATAGAGACCATGGTTTCGGGCTGATGGCCCTCTATATCTCAAATACATGTATATGTATATAAGTTAATACAAAACAATAACGCGCCATTCATATATAACAAATGAAAACATTAGGACGCGACAGTAGAAGTTTGATTTATTTTTTAAAAGAAACATTCGCCTCCTAATGTTTTCATTTGTTGTATATAATATAAGGTTGTCCCAAAAGTTTGTGTTTTTCTTATTACTTGACGAATATAATTATTACGGCGAATGCAATTAATTTATACATAATACAAAGACATTATACATAACGGCGAATAATATTGGTATTTCAATTTTTTTGCAAGTGTTTACTAACTTTTGGGACAATAAAAATATGTCTATTGTTCTAACCCCTGTTGTCTCTCTGTGTAGACATGTGACTAAACCGTGGATAGTGATTGGCCGTGCAGGAGGATGAAGACGCCATTTTGGATCCCCTAAGTCATCTTGTCCATGAACATGCCAAGATCCTACTTGCCCTACAGGTCAGCTCCACTTCCCTATAATCATGACAAAATGCCTTTAAATAGATTTGGAAACCATTATTTTTTACCTAAAAAATAGCGAACACAAATATCTACAATACTACTTTCTCTAAACTCCATAAAATACGCCCAAATTACATATAGGCTTTCTTAGAATAAGCTTCAAATGACAAAAAGCCTTCATAAAATACGCCCAAATTACATATAGGCTTTCTTAGAATAAGCTTCAAATGATAAAAAGGCTTCATAAAATACTCCCAAATTACAAATAGGCTTCCTTAGAATAATCTTCAAATGATAAAAAGGCTTCATAAAATACGCCCAAATTACATATAGGCTTCCTTTGAATAAGCTTCAAATGATAAAAAGGCTTCATAAAATACGCCCAAATTACATATAGGTTTCCTTAGAATAATCTTCAAATGACAAAAAGGCTCCGTAAAATACGTCTAAATTGCATATAGGCTTCCACAGGATGAGTTTCAAATGATAAAAAGTATTCATAAAATGCGTTCAAATTACATATAGGCTTCCTTAGAATAAGCTTCAAATGATAAAAAGGCTTCATAAAATACGCCCAAATTACATATAGGCTTTCTTAGAATAAGCTTCAAATGATAAAAAGGCTTCATAAAATACGGCCAAATTACATATAGGCTTCCTTAGAATTAGAATAAGCCTCAATTGACAAAAAGGCTCTGTAAAATACCTATAAATTGCATAAAGGCTTCCATAGGATGAGCTTCAAATGATAAAAAGTCTTCATAAAATGCGTCCAAATTACATATAGGTCACCATAAGCTTCAAATGACAAAGAGGGCTTTATAAAATATATTCACGTAATAATACAAATACATTTCCACTAAATACGCTCCAAATTACAAAAGTGTTAATGAAATATTAACACAAAATTACATATAGGCTTTCTAAGAATACACTACAAATTACAAAAATAAGCATCTAATAAATATACACTTCAAATTAAAAAAAGGATTCATGAAATACGCTCCAAATTATAAACAGACTTCATAAAATAAGCTCTAAATAAAAAATACAGAAAATGCCTTCTAAATTACATATAGGCTTCCTTAAATATATTGCATGTTATAAAAAGGCTTCGTCAAAACTAGCACAATACTCAAATATAGGTTTCTATAAAATACGCTCCAACATTTCTAAACCATCCTACACCACATTTCCTCACCAGAACTTACTCAATATCGTTACACATTCTTCAAATTTCAAACGAAAAAAAAATCTACGATGGGGAATTTTACAAGAGCTACACAGTTGGATGGACAATTCGGCCACACGGCTGCACGCAACTCTAGCTTCTTTGACGTCAGATGGCATCGCCACTTAGTAACACTCTGTAGGAACACACGCTGATCAATAAAGTAGCGGTCGAGAATATTTTAATTTGCATATAGGGTGATGGTAAATATGCAAAATTTCCGTGTCGTTTTTTTTTTTATATCCCTAGTTGGTTTATATTTATGGTGCTAGATGGCAGGGCCAACATACACCTCTAAAAAGGGGGCGACAAAATGACAACTTTTATGAAAAGGTTGATGAAGTCTCCAACTTGAATTAGATTATTGAGTTTGGGAAAAGGTGTTTAACTATATGGACGAGATAATGTGAGCCCTATGTAGGGATAGAAGTCGGAGTGATAGGTCTGTTAGTTTGCTATTGCCTGGCTTATATGTAAATGGGGGTAATTTCAGCACATGTTTCCATTATTTAGGTTGTATAGAGATGTTCCAACTGTGCAATTAAAATATACAAGTATCAGAGTCATCAACAATCAATCAATAATTCTGTCACCGTTTGCTTTTGTGAATGGAATAAATACCCAAATATAGCCATTTCTTATAAGCATCGGTGTATTACAGTGGTAAAATGCTCACCTGCCACGCGGGCGGCTTGGGTTCGATTCCCGGCCGATGCATTTTTTTTTTACAATTTTTAAAACTCATTTATATATTATACAAGAATGACATCCGCGGCGCCAATTTATAATTGTAACGAATAGTATTTGAATAAAAGCATTTAATCGGGTAAAACCCGGGCGTTGCCCGGGTCATTCGGCTAGTTAAATATATTTAGAAGTTCTAGTTATTTTACATTAGAGCTGACAATTTTTAACTTGTGTGACAAGTGATGTTTTCGGGACAAGTAGCTTTTATAGGATTGTCGTGATTTATGGATTCGTCAAGTTCGTACTCTTGAAAGGGTTTAGTGAATAGGTTATGACTGGATTTGAATTATGTAAAATGGACTGATTTCGTCGTTAAAGCTGAGAGTACTCCTCAGTAGTAACTCAACTTGGAGCTAATAATAAATGGACATTTGGAAACTGCTGTGAAGGCTATGGAGAACTGGCTTCCTGCAAGAGCCCAGTGCACAAGACCCAGATAAAAATGCTAAAACTGGCTGAAATCATTATTAAAGGTTTTTCCTATTTTCTCGGGGAAAATCATATACGGATTTCTTTTTTAGTCTTCTGTAATAACAAAAAGCCTTTATTAATGACCCTCGTCCCATACAGGATTCCAGATAAGTAAACAGAAGTAAACAAAGCAGAAAGTGGAGAATAAGATAAACCTTTCTTCAAGTTGGATTCATCATCTGTGTTGCTCCTATTGTATGTGCTGTTTTCCAGAATTTGTGAAAAGCTAATGTATTGGTTTACTTTTGAATACTTTTTCCATTAGATAGTCTTCTGTAACATGGCGTCGGGATTACAAGATTTTGACTAAATCGATGTAGTACTGTTGCAAACAAAGGCAGTGGTCTTAAAAAATGATAAAAATGCTTATATTAGATATTGTATAAAGGGTCGCTGGTATCCACAGATTTCATGGAACTGCAGAAGGTCTTAAATGGATCCCCCGCGGATATTGAAATCCTACTGCATATAGGCTTCGTTATGCAAATTAAAAATAAATTAACTCATGCATATATATTCACCTTTTTTGTTCAAATAGGAATTAGTTTTGTATATATAGACCTTATTATGCAAATCAAAATAAAATACTTCATTCCTATAGACCTTTTTGCGCAAATAAAAAAAGGCTTTATATATAGGCCTTGTTATGCAAATCAAAATAAAGAACCTCATCCATATAAACCGTTTTGCGCAAATAAAAAAAAAATCATCATATATCTATATGCTTTGTTATGCAAACAAAATAAATTGCCCCATACATATATAGACTTAATAAAATAGCTTATTGTATATATGTGTATATAGGCTTTGTTATGCAACTCTAAATAAGGATGTGTGCAGCAAGTCCGGGGCCGGGTGGCGAACATAATGGAGGCGGAGGACTTCCTGAGCAGCGGCCCCAGCAGCAGCGAGGGGTCCACCAGGGAGGTGGGAGACGGCAGGGCGGACAGTGGCTACTCGGGGGGCGGGGCGCACAAGGACGAGCTGCTCCTGCTCCTGGACAGGATCGGCCAGCGCGGCCTGGTCCTGCAGCAACAGGTGGAGGAGCTGCGGAGACTGCGCGTCGACCCCGAGCTCAAGTGGAAGTTCCGCAAGTTGGAAGCTGAGCGTAACCAACTGCAGCTCGCCAAACAACGCTGGGAGGAAGAACGGGAACTGCTGAGAGCTGAGGTCCTACAGCTGAGTGCAGAGAAGAGCCAACTGGAGCATCAAGTCCGGATGTTACAGTACCAACTACAGCGAGGCTCTCTACCTTCTACCAGACAGGATCCACCTCTCCTCGAACTACACCGTCAACTGCTGGGGTACGTCATGGAGTCGCTACCTGTGCAAGGATCGCCTCTACAGGAGCCGTTCAACTTCCCGGCTAGCCTGCCTCCCGCTCGGACCGCCGCCAGCGACCTGCTAGACCTCCACTCGCCCGAGTCCACGACGGCCCAGAGCCTGTGCAGCGAGTTTGATCCTCTCAGCCTTCCGCCCTCAAATCCTCCGCTCCTAGTCGACCTCGGGGACTCGCCTACGGACCCTTTCAAATAGTCATGTGGACTTGTAAACCTCAGTCATAACGAATATGGACTTACGGGGAACATTCCAAACTTACATATCCCTAACTATCAGTCATGAATTTGTAAAAACGAGATATCATATCGAATCTCGTACTCTTTAAAATTTAGGAGATTCATTTTAAAAAACTATGTGAGAGAGAGAATATAAAATATATTTACATATTACAAATAATCTCAGTCATGGTAATGCAAAAAAAACTGGGATCCTATAAAATATCGTTCTCATACTGAACTTTCGGGGACCATTCACAAACTTTCAAACATATCTACATAATACAAGTATATTTACATATTTCCCAGAAATATTAGACACTATATATAGATGGGAAATTATAGCAATTGAGAACATACTAAAAAGTACTTTTCACAAAGAAATCCTGCGCAGTAATATTAAAAATATATGTAATGATTATTTTCAGTGAATATTAATGGTTGTTACTTTTATTCTAAAAAAATCGTTCATATACATTTTTATTGATATCATGAACTCTCTGGAAACTAAAGTACATATATACAAAAGGGTTTAAGAATGAATATATACATATCCTTAAATAAGAGACACATAGGCCTGAAAAGGTTTTATTTACTCGACGTTTCTGGCCGAAGGGTCTTTTATTTAAGAACTATGAATGCCGGCCAGGCAACCTCTATCTTATATATATACATATCTGACAAAATTACATCGAAAGAATGATTCATTGTGTTTATAAAGACTGTGAAAAAATCTAGATAAACAGTTCATTTAAATGAATGTTTCCAAACAAAGAGGACCCTACTTTTATACATCTTTATATTTGCATATATCGAGAGATTATAAAAACACTTTACATAATATCATGATACAATTGTAAATTTAAAGAATAATTGTATGACTTCTTTCTAAATTCTCTTACAACTATAACAAGAAAAATATCGTCTATTGGGAGGGCCTGGCTAATCAATGGTGAATCCTCTAATAGATTCGCCATATTATCTACCATATTACAACTAGCAAGTTGTATTTTCGGAAAAATATTCACTACTATGTTTTTATTACGTCTAATTCCCAAGCATAAATAGAACTTTAAAAGAGATGTATATGTAAATAGATATCAATTATATGATTTTGCTTTTCAGATAGTCCTAGATATCCACTCATGGACAAAACTTAAGGAAATTGTACCTTTCAGCATGTATATCGGGGTTCAGACAATAACTCTGAAAGATATTACAGTGACCTTTATTGAAGATAAACGAGATAACCAAGTGTGAACAACCTTTGTCTCTTTCAAAAAAAAAAAAATATATATATAGACAACGGGCGACATTAAGACTTTGCACTTCCTTAAGTTTTGTCCATGGGTGTAAATAACAGGCTGTTATTAAACCAAAATGTGTTCCATCGTAGTAAGAGAAGTAGTATTATTGTATTATTATTCAAAAGGTAAAATTAGCGCGATATTGTTTATATATTCTTATATGCATATCCCTTATATGTAAATGGGGATCTAGGGTAGAACTAGATGTTAAAACATTGTGACATTTATAAACACGAATTTTCATTTTTCAAACAAAACAAACTTTCTTCTGTCTTTTTTGTGATTAAAAAAATTAGGATGGCTTGGATCATCAGTGGTGAACCCTCCCAGCGATTTCGCCAATCTAATCCACCATACTCTACAAAAGTAGAGTCTAAAAAGCGGTATGCCTGATTAAATCAAAATTTTGTAAGGATTCACTAATGATGAGTAAAGCCCTCCTAATATTTTTTTATCGTCGTAGGAAGGACAGTAGAAAGGTTTTTTTTTTATTTGAAAAATAAAATTTCGTGCTAAAATGGTTTTATTTATTATATATAGATGGCGCGGCGTTGTCTTGTAATATCTATATCCACATTTCCATAATTTGCATAGTAAGCTAAATTGACGAATATACTGATATTGTTCTACAAGTTCAATCACAGGTCAATAATTCTTATTTCAAATGTTTTTATGATAATTCTGTTGAGGGAAGCTGTTTTTCTTTTAATAATTTCACCTTACTCTTCAACCCTCTTTATAAAAAACGGAGTATTGTTGGGTTGAAGTCCCAGGCTCTAAGCTCTACAGAAGCTTGATGAATAGTTCCTTATAACCCATCAACAACATGTAACTGTATTTCATCCATGTTGATATCGGAGTTCCTTGTAAAATGAAGAATAAAACATGTTATACTGTGTTGTTTATTTCTTCTATCTTCATATATTAAAACATATAGCATTGGAACACGTTGTTATAATAAGGTGTAGAGAGTTATGATTGCTCGTATGGTAAGTGAAACCACACTCTTAATCTTCCAGTAGTTGCCATTTTTCTTTCCGTTTGCCCCGCCTACTCATTCAATAGTTGCCATTATTCCTTTTTTGTTCCGCCTACTTAAAATTTAGCTCCGCCTACTCATCCAGTAGTTGCCATTATTCCTTTTTTAGTCCCGCCTTCTTAAAATTTAGCCCGCCTACTCATCCAGTAGTTGACATCATTCCTTTTTGTTGTTACGCCTACTTAAAATTTAGCCCCGCCTACTCCTCCTTTATTTGCCTACTCCTCTTCCTATTACCCCGCCTACTTAATTTTTTTACCCACCTACTCTTCCAGATATGTCCTCATTCTTCTTGAGACCTGATTTATTCTTCCATTTACACTTCTTACAATTCAAAAAATTAATTCAAGTACAATGATCACGGTATAGTGGTGTTTAGATGCTATACAATGATTACGCCATCTTGTAAAAAATTAGTTTTACTTATGTCGAATATGAGAGAGAGAAAGAGTATGAGGGAGAAAATGTTAAAGAAATAGAGAGAGAAAGATACTTAGACTGAATTAGCAGAGAAGAAGAAGAAGCTGTCAGAGTACAATGGCCGACGTCGCCATGTAATTCACACCACACGTGTTGTCTCCTCGATGCAGACGATAG